AATCCTGGCCGGGATGCGTATGATCAATTTAAAAGTTGTTTGTAGGCGATGTACCTGGTCGACCTCCACGATATCTTTCTTGATCACTCTGAATTGTAGATAACAATGTCATCTTCTTTAATAAATGATGATTGGTCATATATAAGCACCGTGCCTTACGGTGTTCCAGAACCACCAGGTGAAACTCTCGACCGAAGTCTCGAAATTGTCCCACCTGTTGCACATACGTTGAATTCAGGGTAAGTCTCCTTGTGCTAAGGGAGATGATATCAATAACTGAGACAAGCAGCGCTAAAAGTGCTTGAATTACTATAAGAAAACCGAAGATATCATTAATGTATGGTCATTTCAACCATATCTAGGTCGTCAGGTGCTGATTATGGATCACATCCAATTTTGAAAATTCATTGCACCGTTCGACCCGATATCAGGTAACTTCGGAGAACGAATGTTCTAACAAGTCTTAGAATATATATGTTAGATAGTATTGAGGGCCTAGACTTATCAGAAAAGTATCTTGGGGATGAAGACGTTGAACGTGTACCTTCAGTCATCAACAGTTAAGAAATTTGACCATGCAGCTCTCGAGCACCGTCGCCGTCACTCTATTGAATAAAGATTGTTATGAATGCTATACCATAAATAATTGAAAAGCAGTTGTTCACCCAGTAGTTCTCTATAGTATACTTTCAGATCTTTGCATACTGGGCACAATGTAACTACTCTAGGTGTATACGGTGTCCGAGAAGTACATGGTCAAACTTTTTTCAATCGTACACGAAGTGCGTGGTTAACCTCCTTCGACGTCTATTTCATGCTATAGGCTCATTTTTATAGGAAAAGTATGTCATCAATATGCTACAGTATTTCTAGCGTATAATAGGTCAGACCGGTGCTTGGATTGGGCTCTGTTGTCATACGATATTTACTTAGGTAATCGAACCGGGAATCTATCTACCAACTCTTGCTTTGTCCTCACCACTTGACACATCAATGATCGATGGAGTGGCTTGTCATATCATGAGTCTTTTAGCACATGATTACTCACCCTGATACGTATTAATTACAGTCATGTACATAGGATATCAAAAGTAACTTGTCAGTTTGAGTGGCCGTTGCTTGTCAGCTTACATAAGCAACTTCGATTTTGACATGCGACTCCAGAGACCCTATCCAGCTCACGTATACGCTAACCATCACTCATCAAAGAATATAACATTGATGATTTATGGTTAGACTTGTTAAAAAAGGATATTCCGGAGGTCAAGGAGGTTGGCCCATGCATTTCGCTTAGGAGGAATTGAAAAAGTTTGACCGTGCACTTCTCGGACACCGTAGGTGTATCTATTATGTACCGTGTTCCAGAACCGCCGGGTCAAACTCTCGACCTAAGTCTCGAAAATTTTCTACCTGCTACCCATCTCAGAAATTCAGTGTAAGTCTTCTCGAGGTAAAAACAGATAGAAGCACATGTTTACCCTAACTTTGAATATTTATTGAGCAAAAAGGCTGTTTAGATGGTAGATCGCTCATTTTATTCATGTCTTGAATAGACGGGAATATAAGGAGGCTGGCGGTATCATCGACGGAGATGATAAAACTGAGATGGGGGGTACTCCAAGGTGTTTGGATTACTTACGGAAAGACTAAATATCGTTCATAATTATTTCAGCCCTATCTAGGCCTTTAGATGCTGATTATGACCATAAAGTTGATTGCAGGTGTAGCCAACGAGGAGGTTGACGTGGCGGTTTTGGAACACCGTAATTATCCGGATGACAAAATAGAGCAGTTTGAAAGGAGTTGACCTTAGCAATGAGCCTAGTTTTACACACGCGAGGTGATGATTTGTGCATTTGGGATACTGTAGCATGGGTTTGTCTATAGGTACAACTGCATATATATGAACTAACAGAATTTGGGATGGTGGTAGTCAAAAACGAAAGAAAAGAAATTACGAGACAACTATAATAGATCACTAAGATGAAAGTGTGGCGAATGATTGCAAGGCGAGTCCATCATTTATTGCTACGAAAGGTATTGAAAGACCCTAATGAGTCATACATCACTCATTAAACGATATGATATCAATCATCTATGATTAGATTGATCAAGATGGATATTGTGGAGACTGAGGATGTTGACCATGTGCTTCCTGGACACCGTACACGGCGGGTGATACATGAAGCTAAACGTGAGGTTAACTCACCATGCACGTCGCCTGTACGGTGGCCCTAAACCGCCAGGTTGGACTTTCGACCGAAGTCCTCAAAATGAGTCCCACCTGCCACCGAATGTCGATTTCAAGCCTAAGTTTTGGACGTATATGTACATATTAGCGTACAACATTCATAGCTAAGGACTCTTCAATGCATATATTGATGATTAGTCTTGTCCTATGGTCTATATTTATGCCGCAGGGAGGTGAAACATATTGACATAGAGGTTTGATATATTGAGTAACTGTTCACTAAACGATTGGAACAATTGATATCACTGTTGTATTTATCTCCAGCTCTGATAACAAGTCTTTAAAAAATATTTGGGCATGGGAGGCAGGTGGCTTTGCACAGGGGAACATGGTACTTGAGGCTTGAAAGAGCATTTATCTGAGTTCCCTCTTTAAGTTTCAATTGGAGTATAGTTAATAGTAATTCTTTGATGAACTGAAGCCCGATATAATTCATATTTCACTTGACGACTTGGTGTCAGGTGGTGTCAACCTGGCGGTTCGGGTACAATATCTAACCTGGCGGCTTAGGGCCACCGTACGCCTGAGGAAACATTATCCCAGCATATGAATCAACCACGCTCTTTCTAACCCATTGTCAAGAGAGACCATGCACTGTTTGCAATTTAAACTGATCTGAGAAAATATGTTTGAGGACTTCTCGGACAATTACGGTGTTCCAGAACCGCCCAGGTCAAAACTGTCGACCAAAGCATTAAATCGTCCCACCTGTGTCGAATATGGTATAAGTCCTCTGAGTTAGCAAAGACAGAACCGAGCTTTAAACGTCACTTGGGACACTTATTGAAAGAATGAGATCGTTTTTATATGACTACGGTGTTCCAGAACCGCCAGGTCAACCTCATAACTGCGACCAACTTGACAACCAGAATCAGTACTTAGAGGCCAAATGAGTTCGAAAGTACTTGATAATAATATATTTAGTCGTTCAGTAGGTGTACAAGTCGCATTAGCGTCGTTCACATTTACTTATACCATCTCCATCGATTCACATCACCTACCTCCTCCCCTCGCACCTGCTGTGAAACACATATAAAACGGGCTTTCTGGCATCCTGAGCTGTGTTATTGCTTCAATGAATATCTCAAAGATGCTTTAAAAAGTTGCTTCTGTGCTCGTTAACACAGGAAGGCTTAAACTGTAGATGATACAGTGTAGCAGGTGGGACGATTGTGTGCTGTGGTCGAAAGTTTTGACCTGGCGATTCTGGAACACGATAGTACAATACTCGTGTGCATATCATTATTGAGTTGTGAATGTTGAGCACTTAGTGGTATTCAAACATTTACTTGTTTTACTCGTAAAAGCTTTACAAT